GTTATGAGAAAACCATTCAACAATTTACTTGAATATAGCCGAATTAATGTTAATAAGATAACAGAAGTAGCAAAAGCTTTGACCAAAAATGATAAACGTTAATAAGCGGATGGAAGAATTTTAGTGCAATAAGCAGCGCTTAGTTCTCTATCGAGCACAAGATTGCCCTAGCGCTAATGCTTGAATTCGTATAGGCAAGTTTTAGTCAACCCACCTTCTATGGGATTTTCTACTGTCCCGTTCATCGGTATCTCTGGAAAGAGATTTTCAAGAGGCAAAAAAAAAACAGACGTTAAAGCTACAAAAAGCCATTATGATATGCATTTCAGACTATTGAAATTATTGGTTTTAACTCACAAGAGCTTCGCAACTTTCAAAATTCCCACCTATGTTGTCTTGGTGAATTTTCCCTTCGCACCCGTTTCAGGTCAGGCGACATCCTAGAAGATTACTTTCCAAGCTTAAATAAAATAAGCCTAACTAAAATGGTCCGGATTTGTTTAACGCGACTTCATTATGAAAGGAAGATGATCACCAAAATAAGCTCAACATATGTGCGTCTATGAAATTCTACTTCCAAGCCTGCATCCCAACTAGTGCGATTGAATGCTTTAAGATTTAATTTTGCATTCGATAAGTTTAAGTGTCAGTTTAGATCCCATCGTTTTCAGCTCAACCTACCTCTTTCTCGAAGTTGGTGAAGCTGCTTTCGTTCTATTTTCTGGAGAGCTTAATCTAAAAATCGAAAGATAATCGCTCATCACCAAAGCATAAAAATCAACTCACCTTTCCTCGCCTCCCGATTCTTCAGACGAGCTTACTTCCTTCTTCACCTTCTTCGGCCACATTTTTGGGCTCTCCTCCCTCTCTTTTGAACGACTTCTCTTTCTTCTTTCACGCGAATCATCACGACGCCTTCGTTCTCTCGAATCATCTCTTCGCCGTTCACGTGAATCATCTCTGCGTCGGCGCTGATCCTGCCAACGTCTTCGGTCATCCCAGCGACGGTTGTCGAGGTAAGTTTCGCGACGCCATCGTTCGTAACGAACTGGTGGCCTAAGAGGACTCCTTCTCCTATCGCGAGGGCTTCTACTTCGTTCACGAGATCTTTCTCTACGCCGCTTCTCGGACTGTCGTCCCGGAGATTTGCTTCGCTCCCTTCGTGCAGGAGACTTGCTCCTTTCTCTTTTTGATGGAGACCTACTCCTTCCTCTTTTGGGCGGTGATTTGCTTCTCTCCTTTCGCGATTGCGATTCAAAGGACCTATCACCTCCACTTCTTTTCTTCTCTTCTGCTTGCGTTTTTCTCTTTTCCGGTGAAGGTGACTCCTCTGTCAGAGATTCGTGTTTTCGTCGACGAGCATTTCGGTCTTCGGCAGATGGGCTTTCTCCTTTAAACCTTTCTGTTTTCTCCTTTTCTTTCTCGCGACGTTCCTTCTCTGCAGGTTTTTCCAGAAGCTCGTCGGAACGTCTCTTTTTCTCCTCCTTCTCCTCTATCAATCTTTCGCGTTCTCTTTTCAGCTCTGGTGATCGCTCTCTTCCCCTATCCTCCGTCTTTTTAGTTTCATCCGCCTTCTTTCTCTCCTCCTTCTTTTCCTCCTCACTGGCATGAGAATCATGATCTGACGCTGCACTGCTCTCCGACTCGTGGTGCTTCTTTTTGTGTTTTTCACTGTGCTTCTTCTTCTTTTTGGATTTCTTTGCTTTCTTCTTCTTATGAGTTTCTTCGTCTGAATCTTCGCCATCAGATGACGAATGAGTGTGCTTCTTTTTCGATTCTTTTGATTTCTTTTTCTTATGCTTCTTCTTCGCTTTCTTCTCTTCTTCTGCTCTTATCTCGTCCTTCTCAGAGCCACTAGATGAGTCGCGTTCAGCATGCTTGTGTTTGTGTTCTATTTTACGGGATTCTCTGGAAGAAGCTGTGCCCATTGTCTTATGTATATTTGAAAAAGAAACTCCAAAAAGCTTATAAATCTATGAGAGATTAGATATTTCGCAAAAACCCTAATAGACCTCTTCAATATTGTTTCCGTAGCGACTTAAATAATGAAAAAGCTTAAATCGAGGCAAAATTTCAGCTGGTATTTCCAACAGTGGGCTGCTTAAACCTTTGAAAATACCTCATTGGAACAAGCTTAA